CTGTTCGTCTAACAGTACCGAGACGCCGATGCGCGGCGACAAGGGCAAGTCCAAGATGACTGAGGAGGAGTACGCAGAGAAGATGGGAAAGAAGAAGCTGACAGAACCGCCGCAACACAGCGTTGTGGACGTACTGATGGAGCTACCTCCCGGGTACGTCTCCAAAGAAGACCTTGCATACAATCTCGCTGTCTTCGCTCAGCAGAAAGCCGACCCATCGCCCAAGTAAGTGCACTTGCCTTGACGTACGTGCGCATGTCCTCATCATATCAGGAGTCCGCAGGATGAGGGCTACGGGACGGCGAGCGACAGCTACTCGCCGGAACTGCTTCGCAGCCGCCCCCTTGCAAGCCCGGGTCGCTCGCCTCGAGGTAACATTGAAGACGAAGGCACCAGTGCTTCTCCGATGGAAGAGAAGATCACCGCCTCTCCCACTAATCCTCTTCTCGCCGCACCGGAGTAGGTCCTTTGCTCGCATGCTGAGACATATACTCACCAACTACTCTTCCTTCTAGAGTGTCCCCTGTCCCCACCATCACCGTCATCCCGCCATCACCAGAGCTTGGCCCTACGACACCAGATGAGCTTGTTTTTGCGACAGCTGTTCCGACTGTTGGCGCTACCCTCAGTCCTGTACCGCCGCAACCTCGGAATCGACAGCAAACGACCCCCCGAAAAGCTTCGTCATCATACACCGCGAAAAGGGAGAAGAAGAACGTCCACACGAAAGCATCCTCTGCCTCCCCCCGCTCGTCGAGCTCGACTGGGGATAACCAGGCGCAATCGTCTGCTTTTGCGTCCTTCTCGTTCTCGTTCTCGGCCATCGGTCACAGCTCAGACCCCTCTCAGTCTGATGAAGCTTTCACTGCTCAGAGCCCCAGTGATGTATTCGCGGGCAGCGAGATTTCCGTCAGCACTCCGAGTTCGAATGCTCTCCCCCCTCAAAATCCCCGCCCGGCAAACCTCACCACCTCACACGACCACGACGCGCAGATGGGCACCAGCTTCTCTGCTCTGGACGAGTTCCTCGATTCGATGTCGCCTCCGGGAGAGTCCCGCTCTGTATTAGGCACGGACTATGCTCCTGTGGAGGCTTCCTTGAGCCCTGTCGCTACGCCCGTGGCGAGCAGCACCTTCCTCGCCGATTACACCGCGTCAGTCACTGCTGATCTGCCTAGACTCTCCAGACGTGGAGCTACTGGATCCTGAGGACGAGCTCGCCGACTTGATGGAGTATCTTGGAGACGTTCCCATGGCGCCACAGGAGGTCCTCGAGGCGTTCATGGCTCACGGAAACCTAACCGAAGGATCTCTGTCTTACCTGCAAGAACGGGAGATCGTCGCGCCCTTCACCGACAGTGTTCCCGAAGATCTGCAGGACCTCTACGGGAGCCCCACGGACGGTGGAGATGCCTCTCCGGAAGGTGGCGATCCCGCCGTGTCCCTTGCCCACGACCAGCAGGCGTTTGATGTGGCGAACATCCTGATCGATTTCAGCAACTCAGTCCCAGTTGCTCCGGCGGCACCCCCGTGCAACGCAGCATCTCCAACCTTCGCGGACCTTGCTGGTCTTCAAGTAGGCGGACAGTCAGCTGGCGTCTCGCTATCCCCTATCAACGAATACGCTGAGGAAGAGGTGGTGTCGATCTCTATCGTGGAGACGGCTAGTCTGGGGGTCTCAAGTTCTTCGCAAGGTGTCGACGAACCGGCGGCAGCAGTCCAAGTTCAGACCGTGCCGTGCGTGTCTGACGCCACAGAGACGACTGTCTCCGTCGACTCGGGCGTTCAGGTTGGGTACCGCGCCCTCCAAGAACACGTCGCGGTCCAGGCCGTGTCCACGAAGGGCCTCGTCGACGCGGCAGTCCAGACCGAGGTATTCGAGGTGGCCGTGGAAACGGATGTAACGGATGCGACTGTCCAAACGGAGGAGGCCGCGGAATTTGCGGCACAGCTGCCAACGAAGTCAGACACGCATGCGGGTGTGTCCACGGAGCATCTACCGTCACATCAGCCCCTGCCTCCGGTACTCAACGGTGGTTGCCCTTCTGCGGACCCGAGGCGTCCTTTGCGAAGGGTCCGCAGGGAGCACGGGGTGACACTCGTTCCTGCGTCCTTCCTCTCGGCCGGCGGTCCATTCGTACTTCGATGCAAACGATGTTTGGCATCGTCAAGGCGACCGCGACGTACCGCGACGGGTCCGCCTGTCCAACCGTTGTCAGTCCCGGTGCTAAGCCTGCATCACGGGCTGAGACGCCATCGGAAGATGAAGAGGAACCTCGCTCATCTATTCCTCCACCTCCACCGCCGCCCCCGCCTCCTCCGCCTCCGCCCCGTCCCTCACCGGCGGCGCACGGGTTGTTCGCCGGAATGCCGCCTTGGGAGAGAACTTCCGTGCCTCCCAGGGTGCCACTCTCCGAGACTTGGTCTCCTTTCACCCCCTCGGCCTCGCAGAGGACGTTTGGTGCTCAGGTATGTGTATTCAAACCCGCGTGCCCGTTTAGCTGTGACTTACCATTGCGACAGATTCCTCCTCGGCAAGCTCGCCAGGAAGGGAGATCTGCTCCTCCGCCTCGTCTCGTCCCACTGGAGAGTCACAGGGGGTTGCGCCGGATGCACGGCGGCGTACGCGTCGTACTAGGCGCAAACGCCGCCCCGCTCATCCACCCTCCTTGGATAGCAGCGACTCCGAGTCGACGCTGTCTGGTGCTCCCCCTCCCGTGTATATCCCGACTTGGGCGAGACAGCGCGGTTGGAACGGCGCTCCTCTGGAAACGGAGGCTACGGAGCAGACAGTGACCACGATTGAACAACCCGGCTTCGACTTGTCGCTGAAATGCACTCTTGGTCTCCTTGCTGCGCTCGCCATCCGTTCTGTCGTCCGCGCGTTCTGATGTGTTTCTGCTCTTCTCTTGTACTTGTCTGCCTGGTGTATTGCTCTGCTGGTTATAATCGTGCTTGATGTAGCTATAGTGTTTCTCTCTTCATTCTCGGACTTTGTCACATTTTTTTCCTTCGCGTGTTGCTCGGGGATTTGTATCATTGAAATGCATCGTGCGCTTTGGATTGTGTCTGCTCTGTCACTCGTTGAATGTGCCGGCTTGTGGTCTTGATTCTTCGCAAGTTCTCTCGCAATGAGTCGCTGCAGCTGCAGTCAGACCTCGCGACGGAGAAGTACCTGAACTTCGGAACTACGGTCCGAGTACCCGATAAGACTGATCGCTGTTAGGACTGACCACTACCAGCTGCAGCCACTACCTCCTCTTCCACCTCCGACTGCTTACCCACTACAGCCCCGTCTACAGTGCTCCAACTCCTAGACGCATATGCTCTCTACCAACGCAGATACCCTAGAAACACAGCTTGAGCAAGGACTCCTCGTGAAACATCCTGAGTTCTGGTTCACCGACGGCTCTCTCATCCTCCGCGCGCACTCGACCCTCTTCCGCGTACATGTATCTCAGCTCTGCCGCAAATCCATCTTCTTCCGCGATCTGTTCTCGCTGCCTCAGCCCCAGCCATCTGGATCTGATCGCGAGGAGCGGCGACTCGAAGGCTGCCCGGTTTTGGACCTGCACGATCCCCCGGAGGACGTCGCGAATCTCGTGAAGGTGATCTATGACGGACCGTATGTGAGCTTTTCACCACATCCTATCTACCCTTCATGAGTCTTGTTGGCGTGCTGGAGTTGTGTCTTGTTTCGGCCTCGTCGTGAGGTCGTACAACGACGCGGCAGCACATGTAGGAGGTACGCGTATGTCAGTGGCGCTCCTTGTGGAACGAACATCCTTCCCCCCTCACATACATCGTGGTCTTCGATGCTCCAAAGTGCGATGATGTGGCGTGGCGTACTGGCCGCCGCCGTCAGGTTGCTCTACTTCCCTGCTTGCAAGTGTTGCTTCGACGCCACTCATCACTGCTCTATCAGCAACTTCGGGAACAATGACCGCGAAGACTTTGCAGTCGTATCCGGAGTACTCCGCTTATCGACCAAATACCTGATCGACGAGTCTATCCGAGCAAAGGCGATGGCACACATACGCACCGCATGGCCTTCGACTCTCAAGGGATGGGACCTGCGTGAAGACCTGGCCCGCATGCATGAGGTAGAGACAGGAGACCTGCGAGGCCTCCGATATCCACATCCCATAGTCAGTGTCCCGTTCTACGAGTCCGTCCGTGTCCTGCAGCCCCGCTCACAACCAGCAACGTCAGGTCATCATCAATCTCGCACGCGAGATAGGAGCAGACGAGCTCCTCCCCTCGGCCTTCTACGAGCTGTCTCGGTACAGCTTCGCGCAGATCTTCGAGCCCTGTCCCGGCGACCCGCTCGACCCGCACACCCCGCCGTCTGCTCGAGTCTCGCTCTCGTACACGCTCTCCCCCGCGGACATGCAGCGGCTCGCGCTCGGGAAGGAGGCGGCGCACCACGCCGTCACCACGCTCATCCAGAACATGGAGCACGCATCGGCCGACCACCCCTCGCACCGCCGCTCGCGCTCAGGGCAGCACATCGTCCCCGCGCACGCCGGGGGCCGGGTCCGCGCGAACTGCGTCACGCCCGCGGCGTGCCGGAAGGACCTGGGCGAGCTCGTCGAGCTCGCGACGCAGCACTACCTCTTCGACCGTGAGCGGGGGAGCGCGGACCCGCTGTACGTCGCGGAGGAGCTGGGGCAGCTGAAGAGCGCGGAGTTCGCGGATTGTGCGGCGTGTGCGCATGCGCTGGAGGCGTGGGCGGCGAGGGAGCGGGAGCGGCTGTGGAGGGCGATCCCGGACTGGTTTCGATTGCGGAGGTGAGCGTGTCGATGGATGGAGGATTGTGTTGTATCTCTGGACGATGTACATATACGTAATATTAGTCACATTGTTTATGTATAGAGTACATACTGGTTGCCTCTGCTTCAGTGACAGGGTGCAATATGTCCACCACTGGCACTAGAGTACTGACAATGCTTGCTTGTGATGTTTGGGGCTATCCGAAGTAATAACAGAGTACTTGCAACTCTCTGTTAGTATATCGGTTAGTACACGCGCCTGTCATCACTTAGGTTGGCCATAATACCGCGCGAAAGCGGGGTTCGACTCCCCGACAGAGAGTATTCGTCCAAATGTGATCGCTTTTGCCTTTTTGACATCACGCAACGCCACCTCGGTGACTTGTACCGTATTCGGCTGCACTACGCTGGATCCATGGTTGCACAGAACAAAGTCAAAGCCTGCGTTGCTACAAATACATCCGCCCAAGTCAGATATCCCGGCTGCATTGAATCCAAGTGGTACTAGTACATGTGATGACCCTCAGTGGGCACCTAGACTTTCTGGTCAACGGACCTTCCTGAAGACGGGGATCCTGGAACATCGTTCCCGAGCACTGAGAGCAGGAGCAATTACATGAGCAAAGATCGCGCAAGACAAAGAATCATCCAGGTACATACCGCGCTCCTGGGCTGCGATGTCCGCTCTGCGCTTGTCTTCTGTCACGGAGCCGAAGATGATGTCCATCTCCTCCAGACTGCGTCCTTTCGTCTCCGGAATGAGTCTTTAATCACCCAAAGACGCAAGGGTACCATACAAGACGTGGTCAGCGGATCCGGACCTGCCTACTAGCTGCTTGCGAACAAGGGCGGACGTACAGAGAGAAGACGGCCATGCCGCCGATGTTGATCGTCGCGAACATGAGGAAGAGCTTGTAGCCGAGGTCTGTCTCGAGCGTCGGCGTCACTTTGGCGACTACAAAGTCTGCATGGGGAAAGCATCGTCAGTGTCTAGATACGCGACGACCGTCTTCCGAGCGCGCCATTCAGTGCGCTCTGTATGCAAGATTGATCCGTCCCGCAGGAGAGCGGGATTAGCATGCATGGGTCCATACGCGATTGAATGACGACGATCCGAGGCCCAAGGGGTGCGCGAGGGACGGGACTTGAAAGTGAACTTACTGAACAGCCACTGGGAAGCACTCGCGGCGGCGAGTCCGTAATGCCGGGTTCTCGTCGGGAAGATGTCAGACACGTATACCCACCTGCGTATACACGGCCATCGTCGTCAGGACTCGGCCCTCAACGCTAATGCAGATGCGAAGCGAGAAATTTACGGCAAGGGGCCCCAGCCCATGGAGTAGAAGCACACGTAGATGTACAGCATGGCGGCCATGGCCTTGCTCGCGGGAGGCGGACTCGGGGCATCCTTCGGCGGGGGGAAGACCTTCAAGAGCGCACCGATGATGAAGAACAGGATGCCCATGCCCATTCCGGAGATGAAGAGCGAGAACTTGCGCCCGAGGGAGTCGACGAGGAAGAACACGAAGAGGGCGGTGGCGACGACTTTGACGATCCCGTAAATCCCGGAGGCGAGCAGTGAGTTCGTCGTCCCCGAGTACCCGATCTTCCGCGCGGATGAGCACGACTCAATATAACAATTCGCTGACGACGCGACTCACCGACGTGAAGATCTGCGGCGCGTAGTACCCGACCGAGTTCTGCCCGCTCCACTGCTGGAGGAGGAATATCACGACGGCGATGACGAACCGTATGAAGTTGCCCTTGCCCAAAACGCCTCCTTCGCACCCAGGCCTTTCCGCGCCTCGCGCTCCTCTGCAATCGCAGCCTCGATTTCTGCGAATTCTGCGCGCACGCGGTGGTCGTCTGGGCTGAGGCGGCGCAGGTACGCGAGGTTCACTAGCGCCTCGTCGACGCGGTCCTTCGAGGCGAGCCATCGCGGCGACTCTTTGACGGTGAGCAGACCGAAGGCCATGAGACCGGCTGGTACGAGCTGGACGCCGAACGGGATCCGCCAGACTGCGTATCCAGTCTTGATGTGGATGCTGACTCCCACTGTCAGCCAAGCAAGATGCGAGCGTTAGCGGCGCATCAGCCTCGTAGAAGTACTAGTACTAGTAGGGAACCCACAGTTGATGAAGTACGAGAGCATGACGCCGATGGCGACCATAATTTGGAAGAGGCCGGTGATGCGGCCGCGCACCTCCTTCGGCGAGCATTCGGACACGAATGCGGGCGCAACGGCTGAAATTGCGCCGATTCCTATGCCGGCGATGACTCGGCCAGCGTAGATGTAGCCCAGCCCGCGTAAGCCCCCCGCAACCGTCTGCAGGATCTGTTGTCGTCCATAGCCGCAAGACGTAAGCCGCAGGTAACGCATGAGGGTGGGAGGCATGTACTCACCGCGCCGACAGCGAAGACGATGGACCAAATGAGTAGCGACCACTTCCTTCCGATGGCAGCTGTACGGCAGAGGACACATTCAGCGTGAGCATTCCACAGTCTATGCACATGGAAAGTTTATTGCCAAGATGACATTCATAGACCACGCCGCACGGCATCTCTACCCCGCATCTCGTTCAAGGTGTATGAGCGGGGGTCAGGTGGCCACGCGTCCGCCTGCGGAATCAAACTGATGGCGCGAGACGCGAGGGGACGGAGGAGTGCCTGGCAGAACTCAATCTGTGAAACTGCCACATACCTGACAGTGGCGCACTCCCGAGCGCACCGAAGAACGCGCCCGCCTGAAGGACGGAGACGACATTCGAGTTCACATCGTTGGCCTTCTTGGTGTTCGTGTTCCCCGATGGGTCGTGATTCCGAAATGGCTCTTGAAGTAGTCTTGGGAGACGACTCCTCCGCCGACGCCGCTATAGCGGGTTGGTATAGGTGTCTCGTAGGGGGGCGCTGAGGCACTTACGTGTCATATCCGAAGAGGACGATACCCCAGTAAACGACGAACGCAAGCCCTGCAGAGGAACCACTGCATGTCAATCCGAGACTCGCGGACAGGAGGAAATGAGTGCACGCACAGTAGACCCGGATGTTCTGGAAGAGTCCCAGCTCGCTCATCTTGAGAAGCGCGACAAGACGGAGTCGGAGAAAAGGGCGAGGGTCACCAGGCGTCCTCCAACCATGTAACGCGGTTTTTGTACGGACAGGGCACGCGCTCAACCCTAGTCTTGTGGACACGCGGCGCAGGATCGAGATTGCGGGGAAACAGGCTGAGCAGCATCAAAAGGCGTGAAGGGCTTCCCTCCCCTCTCAGCACAGCGTTCCTGGGACAGGACCGGCCACATGGCATCAAGAAGGCCGTGAAGTAATGGTGAGAAGCCGCGCAGGAGAGGGGATTCGAGGGGAAGTATGCGCAACGGCTAGGCGGCATGGTCCGTGAAGCTGTTCGTTTTCCCAAGCTCTGTCCATCTGACGAGTCAGTCCCGCATGGGAGAACCTCAACAAGGCAGCATTCGTGAGGTGTTCTGTATTTTGGGTTCAGAGGTGTTGAGTAGCAGCTCCGAGGGGCCAGCCACCGGGCGAGGGCCCTAGCTTCTCCTACTGAAGACGCAAGATCGATGTCACATGTGAGTGTGCTGAGCACGCCCCTCGGAAGCGATGAATGCAAAGTGCGCACCTTGCATTCTCCTACGTTCATAAGGGGCATCAATGCGGAGATGAATGATGGTAAACTCGAAGAGGGTAGAAGTTCGTGAGTAGATCAATATTGAACTACAAGCCATCCGGACATGTTGTATGGCCGTCCGTCACCGTTCGCCTTCGGGAGAGAAACGAGATATAGCACCGCCGTGTGTGCCCGAGAGCGGGCTCGACGCCACCCGTGTGCTCCATGTTTTCAGTCTGACCGGCACGCAAACGCCATCCCCGAAGGCGTATCAACCAGTACTTGGTGTCGTGAAAGCCGCCAGGACGTGGTTATACCGGAGTACTCGAGTACATCGTGGTCGAAGGTCAAGCCGGCAAGCCACACTCAGGCTGGTTCACCCAAGAGGCGCCCAAAGGCCTCTTGCTCCTCGACCACCATCTCCTCGTCCGACCGACCCTCGTCGAGCGGCCGCTGCCTGCAGTCTGTCAGAGGAAGTCTACACCTGATGTGAACACGAGTTGCTTCTTGGCTGGCGTTGTGCGGCATGTCTACTCTGCTCCCTTTCCACAAGAGCATCCTCGAGAAGATCCACGACCCGGCTACATCTGAACTTGTTCTTCTCGCGCGTGGTCTTGGACTCCGGCGCATTGTCTGCAAGCTCCTACAGATCTATGACTCTCCGCATAATCTTGTGCTCCTCGTCAATGCCACGCCGGAGGAGGAGGCTGCGATAGGAGAGGAGCTGGGTATCATGGGATGCAGGCACCCTGGCCTGCGCATCGTCGGATTCGAGACGGGCAGAAAAGACAGGTGAGCATTTTCAAACCGCGTATCATCTGGTCCGCGTGCATTCTGTGCGCATCACCCTTATCTTGTAAGAAACCGCCCCATTTCGTCTGCTTCTGTTTGGCAATGAGCCACAGGGCCTGTGTGGCCAAAGAATCGGCCACGAGTCGCCCTAGTCCTGGTCGACGACCCTGCCAGACTCAGACAGTAAACGGCTTTCCGGACGATTTGTAACATCGCCCTCCTTGAGCCACAGCTTACTACTAAATGTTGCCTCTCATCATGAAGCGGCTCTCCGACCGCCGATGACCTCCTGCAACCCATCGCATGCATTCTCCCTTCGAGTTTCGCTACATCTCAGGAATTGAGTCTACTGCAAATTGCTGGCTTGCCATAGACGCAGGTCAAGGCGCGAGTCCGCAGTTCGCAGGCTTGATGGCCTCAGAGATTGTCATGTTGGCGCGACATCTTTTGACGACTTCTGCTTGGATCCGTCGCAACACCGGACTCCTCCAAGCCCGGCCTGTACCCGGCCGATGTCGCGGCAGATTCATGCCTGTCTGTCCACAGCCGACAGGTAGCCCACAGGCTCGCTCATGTCATCTGGAGCTTTTACCGGGCGAACCGGGCGGGCTGCCCGTCATTGCATTGCCCGGCCGAAGCGAACGCGAGGCGCGTCGTCAATCTTTCTGGAGACCGCATGTACTCCATTCTTGCGCTGGACTTGAAGGCACGTCGAGGGGTGCGAACAGCCTAGAGCTCAACTCTAGTATATAGACAGGACTTGTACAAGAAGGGCGGTCTCGTCTCAATCACATCCCAGATATTCACCGTCGACATGCTTACATCCGACATTCCGACTCACCTCATCACTGGCATCCTCGTTCTGCACGCCGAGAGGTACGTCGACTCTGGGGGGTAAGTCGCACACGACT